ATGTGCTGCAAAATAATTTAACTAACCTCTCTCTCTCTCTCTCTCTCTCTCTCTCACACACACACACACACACACACACACACACCCACCCACCACCAACTTCTTTTAAATGTCAGCAGGAAGCAGGAATTTCATACTGAGAGCTGATAGGCAACGACAAAAGATAGCCCTTCTTGGCACAGGAAGAGGTGCCACAGATAAAAACAATTCATCTTAACAAAACCGTGAGCTGCATCACAGGTGTTATTTTCATAAGAGCTAAGCACAAGCTAATGCTGGTCACAAAGTATATAGTGGGGAAGAGCCATAATGTGTTGCTCTGGCCAGTCTCTCAGAAACAGTTGTCAACTCCAGACTGCCGTATAGGAGAGAAGCAGGAGAAAAAGTCCTTCTCTCAAATGTCTATTGCAGTCAGACACTTCATGTTGCAGAGTGCATAATCAGTCTGAGGCATGGGACAATTAATTCATAGTTTGTTCTCCTGCCACCCATGGGCGTTCTTTCCAAACTTGTACACTAGCCTTCTGTCTATGCGTTCCAAAATTCCAGTTTTATAATAATACCTGCAGTAACAAAACAGAAGTGGTATTTACTTTAAAGGAATTGTTCCCAAGTAGTACACGATAGGAACATAACAGAGCAGTCAATCTGATGTTTTCCATCGAACAGCAATCCTTTCTTTCTGTTAAATGGATATTTTCACACCCCCAGATCAACTTGCATTATAGAGTTTAAAGCTTTCCCAGACTTCTTGAAGGGTGAAATTTGCTCCTTTTAAAACAAACATTGCATGTGTGTTTTTGCTTCTAAGATGACCACAATTCAGAATGAACTGCTAGGATTACTGCCAAAGCAGAAAGGCAGGTAGTGTCACATTGCAAGCCATGGGCCAAATTCTCAGCTCATGTAAGTCAGAATATCTCCATTGCCTTCCATGGAGTTATACTGATTTATACCAGGTGAAAATCTGGCCCTGTAATCTTATCTGTAACCACCAAGAGCCATGATTCTGTCTCATGACCTTTGGATAATACACTAAAAAGCTATGCAATCAATATAATTGTGTGAAATAGACTCATATAACACACCATTAGTAATGTGGTGGCATTTTCACCTACTAACGTACCGGAGAGCTCTGCTCAGCTTTTCATATGTCATTCTGTCATTTCGCTTTCTTTGTCCCCACATCTTTGCCAGGGCTTCTGACTTAACAACCCGAAAGATGCCTTGTTCTCTATCCTCCCAATCGAGAATGCCACAGTTTTCTTCTGGAGACAGGAGGAGGTCTCTTACAAATTCCCACAAGTGAGAACTCTGCAGGCCTTCAGCAGGAAAAGGACAGAAGATTAACTGACTTTCAGAGATGCAGTACTATAACAATAAAAATAATCACTACAGCAGGTTTGTGAGACGGTGCTCAAGATCTTTAACCACTTGTATCTGGCATCCATTTTGCTTACAAAATCAAGTGCATTGCTTATCTGTAAGTGGAATTAAATTACCTGCTGCAGGCTGACCTTGAAAAGGAACTAATTTTAGAATCTGCCTTTTACTCCTGTAAAATTTTGACTTTTTGTCCTTCAAAAAATTGGGATGAAGTTGCATCCTTGACAGGTTTAGCCTCCAGGAATCAGTACGGATTTCCACAGAATAGTAATGGAACACCCTAATAAAGGACAGCTGGATTTGGGGATTATTTTTAAAGCCCATTTTTAGATTAATTTCAAAAAGTTTGACATGAATTTAGTGCTGGTAAAAGGTTCTGGATTGACAGCCGCAATCAAATTCCCCTTTATCCAGGAATATTTACAGCATTGGCAGCAGGTGAGCAAACTTCCCCACACAGGTAGATGTCTCTGTGGTGCTACAATTTAAGCCTGAGGCTTGCCTGAGCCCCAAATGCTCTGGAAGGGACAAGAACTTCCTAAGAAAGTGTACAAACCTGGTTACCGGGTGTGCATGCATGTGTCATGCTTAAGGAGATTCTGAGTAAGCAATGTCCCAGGAATCAGGCAACTGGTGAAGCTACAAGTACAAACCCAATATTACCAACCTCAAACATTCAAAAATCTTCAGCCAGGCCTTCCAAAATCATGAGGTTTTTTTTAAATAATTCATTTGGGTTTGTTTATTTGCCTTCTGGATTTTGAGCCTCTAGGTTACACTCAGTTTTCATTTTCCAGCTTTTCTCCACAACTCTGAAGGCTAGAAGCTTACTTTTTTAATAAAATGAAAGCTGAGATTCTTCTGATTCCAATAAAGCACCCATGTAATGAGACTCATGCTACAATTGTGAGAGTTGGCAACACTGCACCAACCACCACTTTATGTTTAGCTCATCTGGGGTATCACTAAGTGATTCACCCCTTTGTGACAAGCATTTGAAACCACGGTTTTATACGTCTCGTAATCTTTCAAGCACAATTTCTGCATTTCAAATATATACCTACTTGTTCTCCCGTGGCTGTGACATTCTTGACTCTTTGAGCCCCCTGTTCTCAGGCATGCCTTATCATTGTCTGGAACAGAATTACAAAATAACGTGACATGTGAAGGAGGAGGAATTAGAGTCTGGTGATAATGTGGTCAAAAGGGCAACGTGTTCACCTAGTCAAATGTCATGCAACATTGAGTCAAACTGGGATGTGATCTGTTGTTAAATTAAAAAAAAACAACCCAGCTTTATCATAAAGATAAACCAAAGTGAATAATTAACTTGAAGTTGAACAATTTAACAGAGACAAACACCACAAAGAAAAAAAAGAATGAAACCATTTTACATGTCATCTACAGTATGTCTGGATTATTTGGTTTTAGGGAATTTAGGGCTGTCTTCATCAACTGCATATACATCTGTGATGTGGAACCTGGGACTTTCCTGGCTCAGAACTCAGACTACACTATGGTTGACGGTTCATATGGCCAAAGTGCTACAGCAATAGATGAATGTGAGATTTGGCAATAACACTGCAGAGACGCAAGCCATATCACCCAATTTGAGAAAGGGGGCCTGTCATGATATTGCCGTGACATAAACAGAGCTGGTCAGAAGAGGGCACTGAAGGAGGGATCTCAAAGGCTGTTAACACCACTAGTTCTGCAACTTCTACAAATCAGCAGATCTGTCCTGCCTTGCACACAGATAGCAAGTTCTTCAAGGTGAGTATTGGGGCTCTCTCTGTAGCAATGGTACTAAAACAAAGAAAACCTGGAAAGTCCCTTCACTGAATGGAGTAGCAGAGAGCTACAAAATAATCAGGTGGGAAACACTTTATGATGCCTGGGGTCAGAACTTTGCATTATTGTGCAACCCACTCTTCAGTGTGTATTAGATGTCCCTTTGAAAGGCTGATCCCCAGGAGTTTCTGAGTTTGCTGCAGCCTCTTGTGAGAGTTCTTAGTCCTTTAGTTGAAGAAGAGACTCATTCTTTTAGTGCTGAAATTCTGGGATTCAGACCCTGCTGCCAGCCCAAATGGCATTTACTAGAATTACATACGAGACAATGCCACATCACCATCACCACATGATGGCAGAATAATGCACCAGTGTGCTTCCCTACCCACTTCCTGGAGTGACATTTTGGCAGCTCTGGTCATTTGTTCAGTGCATTCTGTGCTGCCTTGAAACATGTGATCCTGCGTCAGAGGGTTTTCCACACTGCCTATAGCCAGGCAGAACATGAGTCAGCCCAGTCATACCCAGGGACTCTGCAAGAGCTGAATGTGATTCTAGAACCACAGGCTATCACTGCGCTACCACCTCAGTGATAGTGCTAGGTTCTTAGGGGAAAGGGGGAAAAGGAGCCTATGTTGGGAACCTCACCAGTCTTTCCCTACCCACCACAAGAGTCTTTAATTTAAAGCATTCAAGTGGAGACAATTTTTGGAGTATTTTCTCACTTGTAAAAATCCCTTGAACTGCTGCCTCGGGAAGTGTTGCTAGTCATAGAACACGCCGCACCTTTCCTAGTGAATAGAGCTTTGCATGTACAAAACAAGGTTACTTACAATCTTTGATAGTTGGCTTGGTTTCTTCGGTGTCAGTAAAAAAGGAAATGCCTATGGGGAGGAAAACATGCAATCCAGGATTCAATTCTCTAGTCACACACTGTGCAGAATGACTTGCCATTGACTCTTAAAGCACAGCTAGACCCTTTCCCCACTATATTAGAATGCAGGGATATAAACTCACACTAGAGAATATAGAAACATACACATTGCAACAAGGAAGATGAGTCTCCTGTCTATGCAAAGGCTGCTGCTAAAGACCAGCTTTCCCGCCCACTTCTCTGACCTTGTCACTCCCATCTTCAGATTCCTTCACTTGCTTCCTCTTACTTCCTGTATCAAGTTCAAGCTCTTCATCCTTGTCTTCAAGGCCCTAAACAGGTATCACCTACCTCAGCATGCTTCTCTGCTCTCATTACCTCTTAATGGCCCTGCTGTGCTCTTTTGGCTTGTGCCATGCTTCCTGTCTACCTGATCCCTTTAGATCTTTCTCCAGCTCTCACTTTTGCCATTTTCTTTATTGTCCTATACACTTGGATTAGTCCCTCTTCCTTCATCAGATCTCTCCTTAAAAGCCCATTTCTTCACTTCTCCCTCGACTACTTCAAGCAGAGATTCTCTCTTGTAGCAAACTCCGTAGCACAGTGGCATGTCTGTACAGCAGCAAGAGAGCTCACACCATTTAATAAATGTATTACATACCAAAGACAATAGGTGCCGACTTCCCCTCTGTCCCCTGGATGCTCGACGCCCCCCTCTACCCCCAGCCCCACCCCCACTCCACACCGTCCATGAGGCCTGCCCCGCCTCTTCCCATCCCTGCCCTGCCCCCATTCCAACCCCTTCCCCAAATCCCCGCTCCAGCCCTGACTCTTCCCCGTCTCCTTCTCTGAGCGTGCCACGTTCCCGCTCCTCCCTCTCCCTCCCGGAGTATGCTAATGCTGCCAAACAGCTATTTGGAGGCAGCCAGGCAGGAAGTGCTGGGAGGTAGGCGGAGGAGTGGGGATGTGGCGCGCTCAGGGGAGGTGGAAGACATCGGGCGGGGGTGAAGGGAGCTTGGCTGCCAGTGGGTGCAGAGCACCCACTAATTTTTCCCCGTGGGTGCTCCTATGGAGCACCCATGGAATCGGCGCCTATGCCAAAGACCCCTACAGTGAAAGAAAATTCAGGTTGCAAAATCCGGCACTCAGTTTAGGAAATGCCAAAGTTAAGGTTGCCTGTATAACCTTAATTTGGCCTCTTTGTGCATATGCATTATGATACGGCCTTTAATTACATAATCATATATGATTTTCTTCTACAGGACCCCAACCTGCACAGGATGGATGGTGCACATTGAATAAGCAGCTATTTAGTATTTCTCATCATGGTCCTTATTTACTGCACACCATTCAACACCAGTGTTCCCTTTAATTTTTCCCACCCACATGCAGAATGAATTTTGTTACGTGCACCAATATGGACACATCACCTCCATATTGGTGCACATAACAAAATTCATGAGGTGGGGGTGGGGCCGAGGGGTTTGGAGTGTGGGAGGGGGCTCAGGGCTGGAGCAGAGGGTTAGAGTGTGGGGGAGTGAGGGCTCTGGCTGGGGGTGCAGGTTCTAGGGTAGGGCCAGGGCTGAGGGGGTTTGGGGTGCATGCGTCCCTGGGGCTGTGACAGGGAGAGAGGACTAACTTCAGCTCTCTCTCCCCACAGCAGCACCTGGGCTGGGTGGGAGGGGAGCCTCTCCCATGGCTCCAGCCCAGCCTGGCCCGGACCTTCTGTGGCTGTGGGAGAGGTGCCCCTCCCCCAGCCCCAAACAGCTTGGCCTGGATTCCGCCCAGCGCTCGCTCCCCATTAGGTGACTCTCTGGCTATTGTCTGGGTGAGCCGGGGGAGCATGCTGAGCTGACACGCAGGGCATGATGGCAAAGAGCTGCTTTCAAAGAGTGTTTGAATCATGTTGCTGCCACTGTGCCAAAGCCTTGGCAAGAGCGGAACTTGGAAACATGCATTTTGGCTGAACGAGGCGCTCCGCAGCAACTCCAGGCCAGACTGGGTTGGGACTGTGGGAGAGATGTCTCTCCCCCAGCAGTGGCAGGTCTGGGGCTGGTTTGGGTTAGGTCTGGGGATGCGGGAGAGGAATCCCTCCCTGCTGCAGCCCTGAGCACCTGCGTGGAGCTTAATAGACTGCTGTGCAGTCGCACAGCTTACAGGGAGCTTAGTTCAATACTGGCACTTAATACAGAATTGTTAATTTCCTCATGGGCTTTTCTGTGGTGCTCAATGTGTATTCCTAAATCCTTTAGGTGCTTTTGAAAGTCTCCTCCCAGGTGACTTGCCCAGCAGCACATAGGAATTCTGTGGCAGAGGCAGGGATAAAAGCCAGTACTCCAGAGCAGCAGTTGACTGCCTAAAAACACAAGACCATTTTTCCCCCTGCAGTCCCGTCTCATTCACCACCCACATTCTGACTTCTGCAACCAGTATGACAGGGTTCCTATGGACAGCAGCCTCATTTACTGCACAACCCTGATTCATCCCCAGAGCATCAACTCCTAGCATGTCCCTTCATCAACTCGTCCCCAATTGTTCCTCTCCCACTCAGCCTGCCCCTATCCCCCTCATGTCTGTTGCTATCCCTGTTCTTCTCTGCTCCTCGCCCATTCCTTGTCTGCCCTATCCTCTGTCTGCTCATCATCTATCATGTTGGAGTCAAGCTGTTTTCCCTTCTCCTCTGGGAAGTGAATGTGAGGAACATGTAAAGCACAGGAGAGAGAATCTATCTGCTCTCAATTCCTGGGCCTGGAGCCACAGTGGCTCCCAGCTGTAAGGAGCAATTGCAGGGTAAGGCCTACACTGTCAGCCACCCATGGCCCTCCAGGGGCTGTTCTAGCAGCCAGGTATTGCTAGAGTGAAGGGATGCTTAGGCCATGCCCCTTTTTGCCCTGGACATACCTACTGCATCAGTTGCCAGCAGTCCTATGACAACTCTATCCCACTCAACAATTCTCCTAGACCAGGAGAACCCTGAAGTAGCCAGGTTGGCCAGTTTTAGGAAAGCCTTGAATCACTGAGAGGCACAAAGCAGCTGGAATGCATTGCAGGATTGGGTCTAACTCTATAAATAATTACCCAACAATTTATAATCCATCTGGAGATGGGAAAAATAGCATGGCACTGGAGTAGACCTGCTAAGTCTCCCTGTCCTGGGCAATGAAAAGTCAGCCATCTAAGTTATCATCCGAACTGAACCCTATGGAACCATCCTATTAATCTCCTGGAATCTAAACTAAAGGCTAGCTGTAGAAAAAATTTCACTTTCCTTCAGTTAGGCCAGACAGGCAGTAGTTTAGAAGTTTATGAGCCTAAATTCACTTAAGCAGCAATAAATCTTTTAAGAAGCAAAAATGAGGTGGAAAATAAGTAAAGAAAATTGATTGTATTTGAGAATAACGTCAAGGGTATTAATGAGGCTCTCATATTTGTATTACACATTATACCGATAGCATGTGCCAAACAAAACATCATGTCCACCATCAGATAAACAGTGCAACCTCTGATGTTTTGAGAGGAACATAGTATCAGTATATTGTGCTGGTCTATGTGAAATGAGTTTGGTGGCCTCAGTCCAGTTCTATCTGAGCTAAAACACCACACTTTGCATCCAGGACAGTCTCAGTGGAGAAGCCAAGGACTGAAGGGGCCATAGAGTCTGAACTATGATCTTACTCCTACAGCTGAACCTGTCACGTCAGGCTTGAGTGACATTGAGTGGGCACAGTTGGGAAGCCAGTAACCTCGTTGCCCATGCTATCCTCTATCTGTTGCATTGCTAATCTGCTGATCATTGTAGGATCTAGACACCAGAGGTGCTTCACCTCTTCTGTGAATAAACAAGGGCCTTTATTCCCAGGGCTGTCAGTCCAGCACCTTCCACTAGCATGAAGTTCACACAAAAGTTTAAGGCTTTTTTGTTTTGCATTCAATCTCTGAAACACTAACCATGTATCTTGATGTTCTGTAAGATGAAATAAAGGTATTCGCCACAAACGCCGGCAGCATCTGTGAACTCCTCCTGGGTCATGCTGCATAGCTGCAAGCCATTAATATTAAAGTGGGAAAAGGAGATGCAGTTGGCGTCTAGCTTGTATTGGTCACAGCAAAACTGCAGCCACTCACAGACATTGTGTTTACTCCAGTATTCCGGGTGAATAGATGTCCAGCAAGAATCGCCAACTGCAAGAGATTCAGCAGAAGAGAGAAATGAAGCTGAAATACTTACATTACAAAATTGTTTCCAGTAAGCATGTTCCAGACAAGAGAAGTTCCTTTACCTTATTCTAGTAAGGCCACAAGTTTCCTCAATTATTCCTTTTAATACTGTCTGCTTATGTTTTGGTGCCTAGTGCACCTAAGGTATTATTATTAATTATTATGTAGGACATTATTGTAGGAGGGTCTCAAAAGCACATTCCTCTCAATTTGTCACACCCCAAGTGTGATACACAAGGTGAAACACAGACCCAAAGTGAGAGGCACAAAAAATATCCATGCAAGATAATTAAAATACTGTGGGATCAAATCCTTTAGCATAAATAACTCTCTTTCTCTCCTCAATTTCATGGTTATTTCCTTGTGATGTAAATAAATTGTCAACAATAAAAGTGAAGGGACACCAAATTTCTCTGGTGCATTTTGCAATAAAAATGAGCAATGTTTCTCATAATGAGAGGCTGAGTCACTTGAGAGATGTCTCAAAGCACTCTACAAGCCTTAAACAATACCCCTGGCAGGTAGGTAAATATTGTAAGTTTATTACTAAGGGAAATGCTTGTTTTCACAGCTATACCCAGCAAGTTATCATCACACCATTCATCCTGAAGTACATAGTAAGTGTTAGGGTTGTGTGAACTTTTTGTAAATTTGTTATATAAGAGACTGCCACTAGATGGTGCAATGTGCAGTTCCAGGCAAAGTTCTTTTTAGGAAAGCATCTCTGACAGATAAAGGAAAGAGAAAGAAAGATGCTAGTAGAGTGAGTAGGCAAATTTTAGTCTAAAAAATATTCCAGTCAAAAGTGTCAACATTTTTTCAAAAAATGTGAAAAAGTTTCTCAATTAGTGGGAAAAGCTTGTTGCTATTATTTTATGATAAAACCTGAAAATTATTTTTCTGTGATTTGTTTGTAGAATAGTTTTTTAAAAAACTAGCTCTGGTGCTGAAAGTAGGGCAGTGTAACACAGCCATATGCTGTAGTCATCAGACATTATTACTATATAGATCACTTATACAGGGGAAGTGGGATTTGAATACTGTTTCTTTAGATGTAAACACAGATCTCTACCACTTGAGCTAACAGAGAATATCTGTAGCTAACTGTAATAGGAGGCTTTGTACCTGCAAACCAGATACTAGAGGGAAACGTACATGGAAAAGGCCTTCATCTTGCAAGCAGTTCCCACTGGATGTCTGTGCAGGTGCAGCCGGTATGGAGCAACCGCTAGAATTATAGCCAAAGACACTATAATGCTCTTTAGCTCTGGATGCATTTTACTAAAGCCTGTGAAAAATGGAGACAAAATTCTGCCTCCCAGACTCATTATTTCTATTAACTTGCTAGACAAATTATTTTCGTTATACGTAGACAATTTTTTTTCGTTATACTGGAGTCCTTGAGGATGAGTAATGATTTGCCTCAGGAGAGATTCTGGGCCAATGACAGAAATATCAGCCTTTGAGATTGTTGCTCTATTCATTTTAAAACAGCTATGCCAATTTTCACCATCTGAGGCTCTGTCCCTCTACTAATCATGACTGAGCAAACACATGATAGTAAATAGCCGGGGAATGAACTACCACAGGGATGAAAATGTTATACATATCTAGGCGAGTAGTTAGATTAGATAGATACTGTTTCCTTTCATTTAATCTGAAAGCATCTTTGGTCTCATTTTAGATTTCCTAATTCCTCTTTCCAATCAATCAGCCAGGATTTATTATTTCATGTTCAGATTACATTTTTAACCCCATTCATTTAGTTTTGGGACACAGTTTGTATGAAAAATATATGCAATATGCAATCAGATGGTAGTGCATGCAAACAATATGAACTGTAATTTTTTTTTGTCATCAGCCTAGCCAGGCAGTTTACTTCAGGGTGTAAATGCTGCTGTTGTTTTAGACTTAATTGCCCCAATGAAATTAATGGAATGGTTCAAAATTGTGACAATGTCTGAAACACTGATCTTGCATTCTAAATGGGTTTCCATAATATAAATAAGATATTTTTCATGAAGTTTTAAAACTTACAGGACAAGTGTGTTCTTTCATGTATCATCCATGTACTGTAAATATCTCCATTTATTTGTGCGTATAGAATTAAAATAATGCTGAATGTATTTTTCAGTGTCACAGACCCCTGGGGATCTATCATCCCATCCAAGGGAGGCAGTCTAGAAAGGAGGAGAGGTGGGCAAAAGATGCAGACTTTGGATCTGCGTTTCGGACTCTCAAAACTTCGAGCATATTTGAATCTGAGATTTTGTTTGGTCCTTTATAAAGAAAGGTCAGTTGTGATATTCAGCTTGACACTGGATCAGATTCTATAGGCCCTGGAACTGTGTGTATAGCTGTGCCAGAGGATGATTGATTCATGATGGGAGAGAAGCAGTTGTACAGCCACCATCCCCCGTCAGGCCTTTTGCTGGAGAAGGGCAGCTTGAAAGTCAGCCGTACTTCACAGGAACGCTGGCTCTGGAGCAGGGGTCTCAAACTCAAATGACCACAAGGGCCACATGAGGACTAGTGCATTGGCCCGAGGGCCGCATCACTGACACCCTCCCTCGCTGACCCCGGCCCCGCCCCCACTCCACCCCTTCCATGAGGTCCCGCCCCTGCCCCGTCTCTTCTCCCCCTCCCCTGAGCATGCTCCTCCCCCCTCCCTCCTGGAAAGTGCTAAGCATTATACAGAGCATATAGATCACTGCTGCTCCTACAACAAGTCATTTCCAAGCGGTTTTAATAAAATATATACACTCAGTAATGCACCTCACTCAAAGGACAAAACATGCACTTAGTTAGATTTACTTCTGTTAAAGCCCCCCACTGCACTGGGCTGCACCACCACTCCACCACTGCTCTGCCTCTTCCAGGGGTGTCAGGTTTGTAGAAATTTTGGTGGTGCCCAGAACCTGCCCCCCCAAACTCCACCCCCACCTGCCTAAGGCTCTGGGAGGGAGTTTGGGTGGGGGTGGGGGTCTGGGGTGCAGGCTCTGGGATGGAGTTTGGGTGCTGAGTGCAGGCTCCGGGCTGGGGCAGGGGGTGGGGGTGCAGGCTCTGGGATGGAGTTTGGGGTTAGCAGAGGTGAGGCCGGGGGACACTCGGGGGAGGTGCGTGGGGGTGGCAGGCAGGCCACGGGCAGAGACCCGCCCCAAACATTGGGGAGCAGGGAGCTTAGCTGCCACATAAAATACCTCGGGGGGGGGGGTGAGGGGAGTTTGGCTGTGACCGGAAGTAACTGGGGGGGGGGCACGGGGAGCTTGGTGGGCCGCAGGGAAGAGCTCCGTGGGCCGCATGCGGCCC